GGGGGAAAAATGGGAATTTTGGGGGGGGAAATGGGATTTTGGGGGGGGAAAATGGGAATTTTGGGGGGGAAATGGGAGTTTGGGGGGGAAAAATGGGAATTTTGGGGGGAAGAAACAGGAATTTTTGGGGAGAACCAGGAATTTCAGAGGAAAAACGGGAATTTCAGGGAAAAAATGGGAATTTCGGGAGAAAAACAGGGATTTTGGAGAAACAAATGTGAATTTTGGAGGGAAGAAATGGGAAATTTTTGGGGAAAAATGGGTATTTTGGGGAAAAAACCCAGAAATTTTGGGGGGAACAAATGGGAATTTTGAGGGGGGGAAACTGGGAATTTTGGGGGGAAGAAACAGGAATTTTTTGGGGAAAAAATGGGGAATTTTGGGAAAAAAATAGGGGTTTTGGGGGAAAAAAATGGGAATTTCAGGGAAATAAATGGATTTTCACCAAAAGAAAAGGGAATTTTGGGGGAAAAAAGGGGAATTTTGGGGATTTGGGAAGCAGGGAATGAGGAAAAGCTGGGAAAGGGGTGGGGTTATTCCCAGCAAAAAGCGTCTCTCTCCACTAGAGGACTCTGCCTCCCCCCAAACGGCCCTTCCCGGGAATTCCTTCCCTTGGAATTCTCATTCCCAAGCACCACCACCCTTCCCCTCTCCCAGCCCCCACATTCCCTGAGGATTCCCAAAATTTCCCCACCGGGCGGGGGGAGCTTCCCTGCTGGAGGCTGTGGCGGCCCCTTCCCAAGGGGGACAGGGAATCCCGGCCCCGATTCCCGGGAATTTTCCAGGGAATGTCGCACTTCCCACCAAACTGAACTCGGACCTGCGGCGCTGGCTCGGATTTTTGGGAGTTTTTTGGAGGATAAGAGAATTCCCCTCAAAACCCGGCAGGAATTTGGGTGTTTTCCCTGCAGTTTCACTTCTCCCAGCTCCAACTTCCAGGGAAAATTAATATGGGAGCAGGGAAAACTGCCGGGGTTTGGATCAGGCTTTGGTGTGGAGGGAAAGCCGGGATTTAAATCCCGTTTTCAGCCGGAGAAACACAACCGAGCAAATCCATCCGTGCTGGGATCGCCGCTCCACGGCTCCTCCAAGGAGAATTCCCAAACTTTGATAAACTGCCCTGGATTCCTGTCCAATCCCACTCCCACTTCTTGGGAGTGTTCCCATGGATTCATCCCATGGATTTATCCCATGGATTTAACCCTTCAATCCCTCCAGAGATCCCTGAGGATCCCCCTGTGCTGGGATCACCGCTGGGTGATCCGAATTCCCAAACCCTGATGGAACCAGCCCCTATTCCCACCCCACCCAGGGCCATTCCCACCCCCCAGGAGCATTCCCATGGATTTATCCCAGGGATTTAACCCCTCAGTCCCTCCAGATTCAATCCCTGCGGAGGGATCTCTGCTGGGATCCCCGCTGGCCGATTCCCCCGCACAGAGAATTCCCGGTCTCTGACGGAGCCGCCCCCGTTCCCCGGATTTCCCGGGCGGAATTCCCGGCTGGAATTCCCGGCATTCCCGGTCTCACCTCGCAGCGGAAGGGCTTTTCCCCGGAGTGCTGCAGGGAGTGCACCTTGAGGGACATGCTGCGCTTGAAGGACTTCCCGCAGGTCTCGCAGGTGAAGGGCATGTCCTTGGTGTGCGCTGCGACACAGAGCGGCGTCACCGCCGGGAAACAGCGGGAAAAACACCCGGAGAATTCGGCATTCCCCAATCCCGGATGGGCCAGAAAACCGGGAAAAACACCCGGAGAATGCGGCATTCCCCAATCCCGGATGGGCCGGAAAACCGGGAAAAACACCCGGAGAATTCGGCATTCCCCAATCCCGGATGGGCCAGAAAACCGGGAAAAACCCCCGGAGAATGCGGCATTCCCCAATCCCGGATGGGCCGGAAAACCGGGAAAAACACCCGGAGAATTCGGCATTCCCCAATCCCGGATGGGCCAGAAAACCGGGAAAAACCCCCGGAGAATGCGGCATTCCCCAATCCCGGATGGGCCGGAAAACCGGGAAAAACACCCGGAGAATTCGGCATTCCCCAATCCCGGATGGGCCAGAAAACCGGGAAAAACCCCCGGAGAATGCGGCATTCCCCAATCCCGGATGGGCCGGAAAACCGGGAAAAACACCCGGAGAATTCGGCATTCCCCAATCCCGGATGGGCCAGAAAACCGGGAAAAACACCCGGAGAATGCGGCATTCCCCAATCCCAGCTGGGCTGGAAAACCGGGAAAACACCCAGGAGAATTCGGCATTCCCGAATTCCAGCCAGGGGAAACGGGGCTGGACCCCTCTGGAAAACCGGGAACCACCTCAGGAGACGCCTTTCCCAATCCTAGCTGGGGGAATGAGGCTGATGATGATGATTATTATTATTATTATTATTATTATTAGCATTAGCATTATTAGCATTATCAGCATTATCAGCATTATCAGCATTATCATCAGCATTATGATAATATTATATCTATACATTATCAATACTTATATTAATTATAAATATATTCAATCATTAATAGTAATAATAGCAACAATAGCAATAATAATAATAATAATAATAATAATAATAATCCTGTCCCTCCGTCCCTTGTCCCAGTCCCTCTCCAGCTCTCCAGGAGCCCCTCCAGGCCCTGCAGGAGGCTCTGGGCTCTCCCTGGACCCTTCCCTTCTCCAGCTGGACATTCCCAGCTCTCCCAGGCTGGCTTTTCCCGGCCATTCCCGCGTTTCCCGGCCATTCCCGTGTTTGTTTCCCGGCCATTCCCATGTTTGTTTCCCGGCCATTCCCGTGTTTGTTTCCCGGCCATTCCCGCGTTTGTTTCCCGGCCATTCCCGTGTTTGTTTCCCGGCCATTCCCGCGTTTCCCGGCCATTCCCGTGTTTGTTTCCCGGCCATTCCCGTGTTTGTTTCCCGGCCATTCCCGTGTTTGTTTCCCGGCCATTCCCACGTTTCCCGGCCGTTCCCGTGTTTGTTTCCCGGCCATTCCCGTGTTTGTTTCCCGGCCGTTCCCGTGTTTGTTTCCCGGCCGTTCCCGCGTTTCCCGGCCCTTCCCGGGACTCACCGACCATGTGTTTGCGCACGTGGGCCATGGTGTAGAACTTCTTCTCGCAGATCTCGCAGGAGAATTTCTTCTCGGCGTAGCCGTGCACGATCTTGATGTGCTCGTGGAGCGACCAGAGCTTCTTGAAGGATTTGTTACAGGACACGCACTGGGGGGACACGGAGGGGCCGCGTCAGCGGGAACGGGGTGACCGGGGTGGGATCGGAACCGGGAATGGGATCGGAACCGGGAATGGGGGGTGGGATCGGAACCGGGAATGGGAACAGAACCGGGAATGGGGAGTGGGATTGGAAC